GGACTTGGAGGGGATTGGATTGAATTTTACCTAAAATTATGTGTTTGGAGTAATTTCTAATTACTTTTAAATCTTAGTTTTAGAAGTACTGTAACCACTGAGCCAAACCAGCCAGGGCAACAACTTTAAACAACTCTAATGGACTCTACCACGGAGAATATAAAATTATTACATCTCTTTGGATCACTCTTTTCATGACTACATTTTAAAATAGTGTATTACATATAGCAATTTTAACAAAGTTGCATAAAAACAGTGATCCGATTGTATCAAACAAATGAAAATGACAGAGAAAACACTGGAAAGAAACACATTGTGACGTTAACAATGATAGTTGCTGGGTGGACCACTGCTTATTCTTTCTTGAAAATTTTTAAATGCACATTAAAAGGGAATTAATTAGAGGAAATATTTTAATATTGCTATTTGCCCTTTCTCTATAATAGAAGTGTCAGAGATGAAAGAAAATTAGTAAAATGTATATGAAAATCTCCCTCCTGTCAGAGTCTGAGGCACGCCGCAGAACGCAGAGTCAAGTCCCTGCCCACCCACACGTGCATCGAAATCACACAAGACCCAGACCCAGCCGGCCCCACCCCCATCAAGCCCCACAGGATGGGGGGCGCAGCCTCAGGTCCCCCAGTGCACCCTCAGATCCTCTGGCTCGGGGCAGGGGGCGCGGCCTCAGGTCCCCCGGCCCCGTCACAAGGGCGTGAGGGCGCAAGGGTATGATGACCATTTGCTTATTAGCTCTTTATTATATAGGATATATATATGTATATGTATATATATAAATTTGAGAGTTTAAATAAATTCATGTATATTAAGTATTGAAGGAAAAGGGGACTTTCTTATGTGGAAAACCCCTAGGCTGCCCCTAAGATACTGCTAACTGCCTACCAGTATGGACTTGGAGGGGATTGGATTGAATTTTACCTAAAATTATGTGTTTGGAGTAATTTCTAATTACTTTTAAATCTTAGTTTTAGAAGTACTGTAACCACTGAGCCAAACCAGCCAGGGCAACAACTTTAAACAACTCTAATGGACTCTACCACGGAGAATACAAAATTATTACATCTCTTTGGATCACTCTTTTCATGACTACATTTTAAAATAGTGTATAACATATAGCAATTTTAACAAAGTTGCATAAAAACAGTGATCCGATTGTATCAAACAAATGAAAATGACAGAGAAAACACTGGAAAGAAACACATTGTGATGTTAACAATGATAGTTGCTGGGTGGACCACTGCTTATTCTTTCTTGAAAATTTTTAAATATCTTCCAACTTGTTAATACAGTGATATTTTAAATCTCTCAACATTTTAAAATACTCAGAGTGCCTTTTAAAACAGTTAATTTGCATATACTCACTGATAAGCCAATGAAAAGGGTAGTGGTCGTACGCTAATTACCATGTTTCTCTTTTATTAGTGTAGATTATATATAAATTTGAGAGTTCAAATAAATTCATGTATATTAAGTATTGAAGGAAAAGGGGACTTTCTTATGTGGAAAACCCCTGGGCTGCCCCTAAGATACTGCTAACTGCCTACCAGTATGGACTTGGAGGGGATTGGATTGAATTTTACCTAAAATGATCTGTTTGGCGTAATTTCTAATTACTTTCAAATCTTAATTTTAGAAGTACTGTAACCACTGAGCCAAACCCGCCAGGGCAACAACTTTAATGGACTCTACCACAGAGAATATGAAATTATTACATCTCTTTGGATCACTCTTTTCATGACTACATTTTAAAATAGTGTATTACATATAGCAATTTTAACAAAGTTGCATAAAAACAGTGATCCGATTGTATCAAACAAAATCTTTAAAAACACTTCAAAATTGAGCCTTTGTCCCCAAATATGCTCTGCATATTCTTCATGCACCACAAGAGGGCACAAAAGAGGCAGGTTTGATCAGAATTCAGCCTTTGGTCTATATGCAGCTGCATGTTCTTGGTGCACCACAAGAGGGTGCGGAAGAGACAGCTTCCATCAGGAATTCAGTCTTTAGTCCCCACATGAGGCCGCATATTCTGCATGCACCACAAGAGGGCGCAGAAGAGGCAGTTCTGTTTATTAATTCAGCCTTTGGTCCTCACATGGAGCTGAATGTTCTCTGTGCACCACATGAGTGTGTCAAAGAGGCAGTTTTGATGAGGAATTCAGTATTTGGTCTCCAAGCTATACTGAGCAATTCAGTCTCAGGAATCCACAGAATCTTATTTATGCTCACATCATTGCCTAGGTCTCTATCTTTCCATCAGTTGGAAAATTATACACACACACACACACACACACACACAAACACACACATACATGTATATACACATCTAAAAGTCTATATAGATAGATATAGATAGATAGGTAGATAATTTGGCAGAAATACAGTACTACACGTTGGCGTTGTAAGCCAGCTAGGTGTCTGTAGCAAAACAAGAGTATTTTGTGAGGGCATTGGGACGCCTCTGCCATGTGACACCTTTACACACAGCCAGGACTCCCTTTCACTATAGAGAGGCTCTGCAGGGAGCTTTGGGGTTTGTGCTTCTGGAGTGGTGTGGCCGCAGACAGATCCAGGGCACTGTCACCATGCTGCCCAGGCCCGCACATTCCTGCAGGTGGAGCTGATCCCAATGGGACAGGAATGGGGGGGTGTCTGCATTCTTAATCTCTGTATTGACAGTCTGCCCACAGCATCAACAGCCTCTTCTATTTGAGGGCCCCCTACCTGAGGGGCACAGCCCCACCCCCACTCTAGGGGCAAAGACACTAGCGGCTCGCCTTCCCAGCTTCGCTTGCAGTTGGAAGAAGGCACAGGACTCTGCAGAGCCAATTAGATGCAAGTGAGAAGCTAGTGCCCATGAGCGAGAGGCTGTGAGTACTCATGGCCACTCCAGACACTGAGCTATGCCCAGGCACTGGGGACACACAGGAGCGTTGTGGGCGTGGTGTGTCAAGTTGGTGAGTAAGAGACAGTCATGGAGCAAACAAACGAATAAACGGGAGTGCTTGGTTTCCAGCAATTTCCCAGGGATGCCATGTCTGCAGGGGATGTTTTGTTGTGGCTCAGATGGCAGGTACTAGAAACCGCTGGGATGCTTAGGGCAATGAAAGCGACGCGGGAAGGAGAGGTAGCTGCGGAGGGAGCTCTTGAAGAGCTTCTGGAACCGGGACCCACACAGGAGTTTGGGTTGACAAAGGTGTAGCTGGGGTGTCGTTTGGGTAGAAAGATGCTCCGGTTCATTTCAACTTACAGGTCAGTTTGTCACCACACAAAAGACTTGTGAATGAGTCTGCTCAAGTTAATTTTATTTTGTAGCGATGATAGAGCATTACTGCAGTCATTTCCTCCATAAGTATATTTTTTCTTGTTGTTAATTCTCACCAGAGGATATTTTTCCATTAATTTTTAGAGTTTAAGGGGGGGGCAGAGAGAGAGAGAGAAGAGAGAGAGAGAGACATTGATGTGACAGAGACACATCAATTGGTTGCCTCCCACATGTGCCCTGATGGCCGGGGAGTGAACCTGCAACCCTGGTATGTGTCCTTGACTGGGAATCAAACCGGAGACCCTTTGGTGCGTGGGTTGACGCTTTAACCATCTAGCCACACGGGCCAGACCTGTAAGTGGCTTTTGAGTGAGGACAATGATTGCTACTCAGTGCCCCCATTTTCCAGAGCAGGAAGTTCAGGTTTCTGGGTAGTCCTGCCCCGGGGCTCCCCAGCCCTCCTGCAGGTGGAGCCCGTCCTCCTGCCTTGCTTACCCTCCAAGAGGATGAGATGCTTCAGAGAAAAAGGAGCCAGACTGGGGGAGACCATCTGACCACATTCTGAGCCTTTTGCAGAGGCCCGGCCCTGCTCCCCCCTTGCTCCCCTCCCATGCAGCTCACAAAGTGATGCCCAGGTTCCCTGCACAGTAACCAACAGCCAGCCCCGCAGGCGTGAACACGAAGGACATCCCCCATCTCCTTCAGGGACAGCGCAGCGATGTGGGCAGTGAACCAAAAACCCTCCGTTCAGTGAGTGGACACATTCCACCAACACGTCCATGAAGCCGAGCTCAGTGGGTAAAGGGAACGTGTGAAGTCACTGCAGAGAAGGGCCCCGTTACCTGAGGGGGTCTGTGTCCCCATCCACTTCCTAGGGAAGCCGTTCCCCTGTTACAGCATCATCGCTGAAGCCCTGAGTCCCACCGCACAGCCCCCCTCCCTCACCTACACCCCAGGTGCTGTCCTGAGCTCTGCCCCCCGCCCCATGTTCACTACAACTTCCTGCTGGGCCTGCTGTGCTTTTGCAGGAGGGCTGGGCTGCTGGGAACCGCTCCCCAAACCCACTCCGTGGGGACGGGCTTGGTCAACGGGCCGGGGCTAAAGAGAAGAAGGAAGTAAGCGGGCTGCACCCCAGACACCCCGGGACCACAGACGCAGGGAGGGCCCAGCCCACGCTTTGCCCCCACGCAGGGCCGAGTTGCACGTGGAGGAAAATGTCACCGTGACCGCTTTGTGCCTCAGTGTCCCGGATACAACCGCCTCCCTGACACAGGCAGGGGCATCCCTTAACTGGCAAAGCCACGCCGCGCCTGCCGGGGACTGAAGCGCATGGAGGGCAACACCGGCCAACGGGGCACATGGCAGTGGAGCTGCTCAGCGGGCGTGGGTAGCGGTGCACACTCAGGCCCAGCGCCCCGCGCCCCGACTTCTGCAAACGACCCCCGTTCATCCCGGAACCCACGCTCCCACCGCCCCCGGGAAGGAGGACATCACTCACTTTGGGAAGCCCTCGGAAATGCCGCCATGGAAGGAACACACCCCTGAGAACAGCAGCCTCAGAGCCCCGGACGCCGGCCCGGGGGAGGCACTCGAGTCCCCTCCTGTGGGGAGAACGCGCGTGTCTACGCATCAGGGTGTCGCGGGCCCCAGTGGGCGAGCGGGACGAAGGATGCACACCCACCACGTTCTCTCGAATCCAAATAGAGCCATTTATTCAAGACCCCGAACAGGACCTGTTGCTCCTATCCTAGCAAATGGGCTGCGAAGTGCCAGGTGGTTCTTGGCCAGAGCGTGGGGCGCGGGTGGGCGGACAGGTCGGGAGGCGCTGGTGGGGCTGGCACATCTGATAGACAAACACACCCAGAAGCCAGAGTCCAAAACCCCGGGGCGGGGCGGAGGAACGCGCCTGCGTTTGACAAGCAACACGACTTGGAAAAAAAGGTGGAACAGGTTTAAAAAGAGGAAAATAACCAGAGCGAAGCAGGCCTTCCGTGAGACAAAGTGCACCTCGCCCGGACAGAAGGAACCCCAGTTCTAGGGATGCGGTGCGCGGCCCTCGCCTCCCCTGGGCCTGGCCCGCCCCTGGCCCCTGCAAACCACGGAGCCTCGGCCTGGGCCGCCTGCTCAGACCAAGGCCACGTCTGGTCACTAACAGGTAGGCGTGACATGAAGAGCTGTGAGGAGGCAAACAGTGCCGGGCACGGGCCGACTTTCCAGGGACCAGTGTCCCGGCGGCCCTGGGCAGCGATGATCTGCGGAGAAGCGCAGGTTCCTGTCGGGGGAGGGGTCAGGCGGTGTGTGCACCTCCGCACACTGCGCCCCAAACCTAATGATTCTCAGGGCGGAAACGCTCAACGTGGTCCGGGTGTCGGCTGCCTTCAAAGATGAGAGCGGCGACTTCCTAGACTTCGCGCTTGGCAACAGCCCGAATTAAACACCCAACTCGGAAAAGCACTTTGGGGCCTTCTCTGGCTCAGACTCAAAGAAGTCACGGATCCATGGAGCCTGGTGATGTCCTGGATCCAGCACAGTCCAGGCCTCTCCGACGCGCTCACCTGCCCGGCGCCGCCCCTGAATAGCATCCCGTCTGGTAGCTGGGACGCAGCGGCTGAACATGCCCAGGGCGCCCTGCCCGCCAGGCCCCCTTCCCGTCCCTGCTGCTCTCCTGCTCTGCCCCTGGGAGAGTGAGGGCCCTTCTCCCACTGCTACTTTCAAAACCAGGTCAGCGTCCGCGCTGACAGTGCCAAGGCCACCTCATCCAATGAAAGGAGATTCCCGTAGAAACACAAACTCCTGTTTAATTTAAAAACAGTAAGAAGGTTCATTATTAAAAAAAGAAAATCTAGTCTCTTGGCACAGAAAGAAGAGATGGAGACAGCGGAGGTGATGGGTGACACTCTACCCTCAGTCCACCTTGCGGGTGCAAGGGCCTTCCTTCCCGTTCACTTCTGTCCCTGCCCGCCAGGGGTCAGCCATGCCAGGCCCGCCCAGCAGCTCGGGGGCAGTGGCCCACCGTGAAGGAGGTGCCACCAACAGGCCACACAGCGGAGCCGTCTGCTTCTATGGCTTCCTCAGTACCGGTTGGTTTGGGACAGGCTCCTCGGGGTCACAGTGCACCCTTCCTCAGTTCCCGCCCAGAGCTACAGAGGGTGCTCCCGGGGAGATCCCACATTGTCCCCCAGCCAAGAGCCGGACTTCTCCCTCCGCCGAGGAAATCCCGCTGGTCCACGGGTCTGCCCGTCGCCCCCCTCCTCCCGCAAAGGGAACGGCTCCCTAGAATATTTTAAAATATGAAACCATACAAAACATCAACAGCAAATCAAGACACGCTGAATGGAGAAAGAAGGCGGAGGGACAGGCAATGAGGAAGGGGAACAGGCCCCATCATGGACGGAAGGCCCAGTCAACAGGATTCCAACCGACAGAAAAGCCACCTGACAAAGAAGGTTGTGTGAAACGGGGGTGCCGGGATCACAAGGCCCGCGTTTCAGCGGCACAGGCTGGGCTTTGAACATCCTTTGGCGAGGGCGACGGTAGTGTCCGAATTGTTAGGGCAACACGCAGCAGGCGGGAGAGCTCTTCCACCCCCTTTCTGTTATCGCAGCCTTTTTCGCTTTTTTTCTCTTTTACCACAGCTTTTTCTTCCCCCTCCAGTCTCAGCTCTCAGAGCCTGTCTGGGTGGGAACCAAACTGGGACCATCCCGCTGGAGGCGTCACGCTTTCCAACCAGATGTCCCCGTGGAAACCACTCCCCCACCTCTGATACAATTGTGTGTATTTGAATCAGTCCACCTTGCGGGTGCAAGGGCCTTCCTTCCCGTTCACTTCTGTCCCTGCCCGCCAGGGGTCAGCCATGCCAGGCCCGCCCAGCAGCTCGGGGGCAGTGGCCCACCGTGAAGGAGGTGCCACCAACAGGCCACACAGCGGAGCCGTCTGCTTCTATGGCTTCCTCAGTACCGGTTGGTTTGGGACAGGCTCCTCGGGGTCACAGTGCACCCTTCCTCAGTTCCCGCCCAGAGCTACAGAGGGTGCTCCCGGGGAGATCCCACATTGTCCCCCAGCCAAGAGCCGGACTTCTCCCTCCGCCGAGGAAATCCCGCTGGTCCACGGGTCTGCCCGTCGCCCCCCTCCTCCCGCAAAGGGAACGGCTCCCTAGAATATTTTAAAATATGAAACCACACAAAGCTCTCTGTCTGATGGCTATTTTAGGATTTTAAAATAAAAATATTTCCCCCCCCCCCAAAATACTCCGGGCTCTCTTTAAGTCATTTTTCTTTCCTCCTGTAAAGTCACCCTGCCCTGCCTTCCTACATAAAGCACTTATTTTGCGCCGAAAGTGCCCTCAAGACCTAAGATCTGAAACAAGTATGATAAAGGGGAGCAGGCAAGGGAGAGGGCGAGGGGGAGAGGGGAGGGCCGAGAAACCTTCCAGCAAAGATTTTGTCATGGTGTCCCCAAGGCCACATCAACAGCAAATCAAGACACGCTAATGGTGGAGGGACAGGCAATGAGGAAGGGGAACAGGCCCCATCCTGGACGGAAGGCCCAGTCAACAGGGTTCCAACAGAAAAGCCACCTGACAAAGAAGGTTGTGTGAAATGGGGGCACTGGGATCACAAGCCCCGAATTTCAGCGGCACAGGCTGGGCTCTGAACATCCTTGGCAAGGGCGAGGGATTGTTAGGGCGCAGAGCTCTTCCACCCCCGTTCGGTTATCGCAGCCTTTTTCGCTTTTCTTCTCTTTTGCCACAGCTTTTTCCCCTCCAGTCTCAGCCCTCAGAGCCTGTCTGGGTGGGAACCAAACTGGGACCATCCCGCTGGAGGCGTCACGCTTTCCAAGCAGATGTCCCTGCGGAAACCATTCTCCCACCTCTGATACAATTGTTGTGTTTGGCTTTTCTTCTCTTTTGCCACAGCTTTTTCCCCTCCAGTCTCAGCCCTCAGAGCCTGTCTGGGTGGGAACCAAACTGGGACCATCCCGCTGGAGGCGTCACGCTTTCCAACCAGATGTCCCTGTGGAAACCACTCCCCCACCTCTGATACAATTGTGTGTTTGAAACTTTCTGACAAGAACTAGGAAAGATATAGGCGCCCAGGGCCCAGGAGGAGCTGACTTCAAAGTCCACGCCCACACGCCACGCCCGTGCAGTTTGGAGCCCACAGGATGCCCCCCCACCCCCACCCCACCCCACGCAAACTGCTGGTGGGTTAGAATTCTCTTCTTTCCTGCAACATTCCGTTTACTTTCGCAGATCTAAAACACACACCTGCAAGGAAACAGAGAGCCCCCGTTACCTTCAAACAACACACAGAACCCAGGATGGCAAATTACATGGCCCATGAACCAAATCAGGCCTACCCACTATGCTTTATAAATAAAGTTTTATTGGCACACAGTCCGGAACATTCAGAGAAGCTATGCTATACCTGAGGGGCCGAGCCTCTGACCAACCGGGAAATAACGCAGAGGCAGTGGCCATCGGCAGGTGTCACAGCCCAGATGCCTAGAGGCAGGGCCAATGACAACTCAAGCCTGTGCTCATGGCCTCTGGGAACACGTGGGGGCTACAGGACACTCGGCCAGCCCTCCCATCACCCCCGCCTCACAGAATCACAGGGCCCCGGGACCCAGGAGACCTGTGGAAGGCAGGTCATACCTTTACCAGCAGAGGGTCAGGCTGGGGGCACAAATGTGGGGCTGAGGCAGGAGCAAGGTTCTCAGCCTCTGCCCTGGGTATCAGCTGCCTGGGGTTTCCCCTTTCGGCCCCACACCCTCCTCCCCCCAGCAAACCCTGGTGCTGCTTACAGAGCCGTCAGACGCGCTGGCGCCCACTTTGTCCCCTCGGGCGTTCCAGCAGACCTCGAAGATGCTGCCAGTGCCTCGGTAGCTGTGGGCGAGCCTCCCACTCTGCAAAGCAAAGCAGCGGTCAGGAGCTAAGGGGGTGGGAACTGGGGGGGAGCAAGGCCACAATCTACCTATAGCCACCACCGGTAGCTATGGCACACACTGACCACCAGGGGGCAGATGCTCAACACAGGAGCTGCCCAGCGAGGGCCCTCTCCTACTCCAGGACCCCTTGGGGGATGTTGGACTGCCAGTTTCGGCCTGATCCCCGCAGGCCAGGCTGAGGGACCCCGTGCGCCGGGCCTCTAGTATTATATACATACTTGTACTTAGAGAGGGCATCCTCTCACTGAGGATCAAAGAGGTTTGTGATTTATAAAACAGGAGGGACATAATTTGGTGAGCCTTTGGCCGTGGGCAATACCTAATGCCATTTTTCTAGGATGTCACTTTACACATCCACCTGTCACTGCTTCTATGAAGAGGGACTCTCGCACAGTATTGCTGGATGCACGTTTTCCACCTGGCCTATCTGGGCTGTGAGGCTTGGCGGCAGGCTGGTTCCGCATGGGGCCCACCCTCATCTCTCCCTCTCTATGAGGATGTAGCCCAATGGAGGCAGATTCTGAAAGCCTGAGGTCTCAGTGGACCCCATACCAGTTCACTTGCTTCATGTACTACCAACCCTTCCCACAAGGGGGCATGGACTCAATTAAAATGCACCTCAATTTCAACCCAGCCACAGGGAAGCCAGAAGGCAGACTGGATTAGAAGGGGAGAGGGGAGGCCATTACATCCACCCTGAGGTCACACAAACTGGATCACTGGCTGTTTGCAATGGCTCCGACCATATCTCTTCCATCAGCTAGAGAACCGAGAGGTGACTCCCCAACATAACACCCCCTGCTCTATCTTCCACCCACTTCCACACTTTATATTCAGAATCTGTCGTCCTCAGGTGCAGCCAGAGATACCCACGGCTACATTTACTCAAATGCTGTCTCCTTTTAGTTCTGCCAATAGCACAACCCAATACCGACATACCCTTTCCCACAGAAACATAAACTAGTTTCATTAGAAAAATCAAAATGGCACAACAAAGCAAACAGATATTCCTTTGTACCCTCCCATGTGCTACATGATGTGGAGTGGCTGGCCCCGCCCCTTTAGCTGGGCCCCCGGAAAGTGCAAATGGAATGACACCTGTCGCCCCAACCTTAGTACCTCGAGGGCAGCATCTCTGGAGACAAGAGGACTGGGTTACGGTTGTCTGAGATGACGGCTGGTACCCCAGAAAAGGATGAGGCAGGCAGAGGGTTTCATGCCAGGGGCTTAGAAGCGACTCAGCACAAACTCCCCAGTGACGGTTTTGAGCCTGGGTCACTGAAACCTGACTTGGGTGTTACTCGGAGAAAGGAATCAGGGATTACCTGAGTATTCCAGATGTGCACACACTTGTCAAAGGAGCCGCTGGCCAGGTACTTGCCGTCGGGGCTGAAAGCGACACTGTAGACAGGTTCCTGGTGCTTGGTGAGAGTGTGGATGCACACGCCGCGCTCCACGTCCCACAGCCGGACGGTGGAATCGAACGAAGCGCTAGGAAAAGGGAGGAAACATCACCATAGACACGGGGAGCTTTCTTCTATTTCTCTAATACGTACATCTATTATGTTTGGTTTTCCTTGCACGGCTTTTACATTTTCAGAGACAGTAACAGGTACGCTTCATCACGGCTAAAGTATGACTCAGATACATCGACAACAAAGCCATTGTTATAAAAACAATTCCTTTCTTCTTTTTTTGGATGGTTATTGGGGAAACAATGATTTCATGTTCATCTGTTTCTGCATTTCCCATAGACATAGACGTTAAATATGTCTATAGAATAGTTACTACATTTCCATAAATGTAGTAAATTTAAAATACAACATTTAGCTCAGCTGGTGTGGCACAGTGGTTGGGCATCGACCTATGAACCAGGAGGTCACAGTTCGATTCCTGGCCAGGGCACATGCCTGGGTTATGGGCTCGATGCCCAGTGATTGGCATGCAAAAGGCAGCCAATCAATGGTTCTCTCTCATCATTGATGTTTCTATCTCTCCCTCTACCTTCCTCTCTGAAGTCAATTTTAAAAAATGAAAAAACAAAAACACAACACAACATTTATGGTTACCAACCAAAATATTTGGAAAAATGGCAAATTAAGGGAACACAAGTTTTAGTGCAATGGGAGTTAAAATACAATCACATGCAAAGATGCCATCGTATTCCGAGAGCTGCAAGTTTTCTTTTCAAACGTAAAAGAAAGAACACATACAAGAGCTGCTATTTGGTGTTCTCTCTCTGTCTGAACGGGGACTCGCCGGCACTGCTTGTCCCCTTCATACTTGACTGAAAGGACAGTCAGCCTCTCAGCTGATGCAGGAATTCCTTCCTTCCCTGTTTTCTAAGAAGCGGCCTTGGGCAGAGCACTTTCAGCAACAAGGATCCTTGCTGCTGTGAGACTGACCGGCCTGTGCAATGCGGCAGAGATGGAGAGTCCTTCCGTATCCACAGGGCTGTGCCACCTGCCACCTGTCCCCGACCACCCCTGCTCTGCAGCAGCAGAAGAAGTCCGCCACTGCTTCCTGGGACCCGGATGTTCCTCCCCAACGTTGTCTTCTCCAGCGGAACACACCCCCTCGCTATGTGCACCCTGGATCCCGACCCTGAAGGAGGCTGGCATATCCTGCAGCAGAATCTCTTCAGCATCTTTTTCTAGGCGTTCTTATTAAACACAGGACCTGGATGGAGCCCTGTGAGCGCTGGGCCGAGACAGTTCTGTGCAGCGCAGCCTGAAGTGATGTGGTTCTGGGCTGCCCATCGCGGCCACGTCCCCTCTCCCCAATTCTGGGAAGAATCTGTTGCTTAACGGGGGGAGGGAGGTTCACTATATATATGGCTCGGTCAGCCCTGGCTAGGGGTGGGGAGCCCTTTACTGCCACTCAGAATTCACGCCACCTGCAGCTCCGAGTTGGACCGAGTAAACCAAGGCCGCGGTGCACTCTGCTTCCTTTGTCTGTCGTAATGAAAACCTTCACAAAGCCACATGCTGGAAGCCTGGACACGTAACGCACCCTCCCACCAGCCCGGTGGTGACAGGGATCCACACCGTTACTCGGGCGTCACTGCACAGCTCGGGCGTCACTGCACAGCGCTGTTTCGTGGGCCCTGTCCAGAGGAGCTACTCTTTGTACAGTTTGGAAGGATGGGAACTCATTCACAACACACTTTAGCAAATAATGTTTACTGGCCACAACTTTTACAAAATAACTTTTCCATTCCCTCCGATACAATAACTGTTACAGCCACGGGGAGCAAGGCTGCTTTTGGGAGCAGCGTGGGACTGGGTTGTGGCCGTCCCCCTCTTACCTTGCAAGCATGATGTTGGCGTTCGGGTTGCTGGTGGCGGGCCCGGTCGGACTCCACTTTATGGTATAGACCTCTTTGCTGTGAGCCTGCAGGTCATGGACGCATGTGTCCTGCTTCATGCTCCAGATCTAGAGAACACATTGGGCAGAATGTGAGCAGGTGCTCTTTCTGCAGCCAGGAACGGCTCAGCACCGTCACTCTGTGAGCGTGCCTCAGGATTGGGGCCCTGGGGAAGCTCACTGATGGGGGTCACTGCCCAGACAGAGGGGTGGGAGAATCCTGGGGGCACCAGCAGCAGCAGGAGCAATGGGGAAAACTTACAGCAGCAGGAAGAGTGTTCCTTACAAAATCATCACCCAGAGCAGCCGTGACCATAAGACCCGCACTAAGTTGAGGGGCTGCCTGGGATCAAACAGCCCATCCTTCCACGTTACCTTTAATGTACTGTCATCCGAGCAGGACGCCAACAACATTCTGGAGGGATTCCACTTGATGGCATTAACCTCATTCTGAAAGAGAGCAAAGGATTTTACAAAGAAATAAAGGCCTGTGAGTAGGTACCACAACCGTCCAGTGGGGGTGGGGGTGGGGGCGAGCACTCTATCATCTCTGCAGACTATTCAGT